TACCTTGTGTCCTGTTGTCATCTCCTCTATTTTGCTTTGTGTTAACTCCAAACTTGTCTTCAGCTCTTGTACGTCTCTCATCACGCCATCCAGCCTCTTGTTTGTTCCGTCTATCACCACTTGAATGAAACCTTAAAAGTTTTCTTGCTGAAGGTGTAACATTTCTATGTAGAATTCCTTCTGCTGCTCCAGCGTCTGAGTAAACACAGCCATGGCGACACCTGTCTCATCTTCACAAGGCGCAGCTTATTTTGGAGGCACAGTTTCTTACTGCGATGTTGCGGTGGTGGCTGATGCGTATAGATGATGAAAGTAAAACAGACACCCCAGCTCCTCCTGGCTGTTGTAGATAGATGATTGAAGTGTAAGATATTTCAACTTCCTCTGGCGCAGGCCAATCTAGGACAATAGGCCCAGAGGCCTCTTGACTTTTTACAGCCAAAAACTATCTTATCAAGCAATGATATAGTCCTCGAATAGCACTGGAAATAAAGTCCATATATTACTTGATTCAATGGTAGAGTACTTCTGATGTTAAAAAAAAGGATTCCGGAGATATCTGATAGATTCTCTACTCTGGTGCTCTGTTCTGTGTTGAGCTGAAGGTCAGACAAAATCCCACTAAGACTATTGTCATATTGTAACACTTTGCTGAAAACAACTGTAGCGTATGAAAGCCATGGAATGCAAAGGTTAAGACACTGTCAACTGTCAAACACAGCGGTGGCAGCATCATGGTGTGGGGTGTTCCTCCATTTTGGGCACAGACACCAATCAAGGAGGAAAAACAAAAGTTGTCCACTAGATGGGGTTAGTACGTTGAATCACATTTTTACGTGACTCAAGGTGGTACAGCTTCTTAAAGGGACATGAACATTGTCAATCTACACACATCTTTCATTTTTCTATTATCGAATTTATTGACATGGGAAAAATTGAGTCAGAAATGTCGATAACGATACATGTTTGATTCATTGCCCAGACCTAATGCATAGAGATGTAACCCAGACCAAGTCCAAAGACCTGAACCTGAACTCAGATCAGTTGTAGTGTCTGTGGTTGTGATGATGTTCACTCTAGCTCACACAGTGACTCAGCATATTTCAAGAGATAATATACCCAAACAATGGACTTCAGACATGTTTAACATCAGCAAATGTTATTTTATGAATGTATTCAGCCTGGATTAAGTCTGCATTATAGTGCAAATTGTTAAAGCTGCAAAGGCACATCTACAAAACGAGCTAGCTTTTCAACACAATCACAGAACTCTCAGCCCTCCAGTTGGCTATCTCCCCAGACCACGTCCGCCTGATATGGAAACCCGCATCGCCAAGAGAGTGCTGAGCCTCATTTTTCTAGGTCCAAATGTCTTTTGTTGTCCACAACTTCAAATGGTGTCTACCACATAAGTGGTAGCAGCCAGCTATTTCTCCTCTGACATTACTGAGCTGCAAATCTCTCACACCAGTGGCATTTAGTTGTAAAATGCAAATGCGCGTAATGACGGGAGGGCCCAGGTAAATGCAGAAATACGGTGGTCCAACAAGGCTGACAACCAGATGGTCCACTAGTAGCTTTCGGTCCAAGCCGTATTATTGGTGGTAGTTTTCAGACAAATGTGAGAAAACTACTCAATTTTATTTGCAGTTTTTTTTATCTACATGCAATATTTATAGCTATACTACGGTGGAATGTTTTAAGAGGTGTGAAAAAAGGTTTTAAGCATTTTTGCATTGCAAATTTGCTGTTGTAGCTTCAACACTGTATGTGTGTGAGTGGTACATGAATCTGTGTGACTAACACTAATAGGAACATGTTTTCATTTCGTTTGTTTTGACAGTTTGCTCATGAAAACCTAATCTTCATCCATGGTCATGAAGTATCTGACTTCATAAAATAGTAGTCGCTGATGTTTTCAGGGGCTTGTAACACTAGAAGTCTAACACGGTTCTTACACTGAGGGTTTTGGACCTTTCGGTCGACTGACTCTTCAGACTCAGGCCCAATCTGGAATGAATTGATAAAACCAGTGTGAAACCTGACTTTAATTTCCTGAGAACTACAAAATCGACAGTAAAACAAAGTTATGAAACCCTCCAGTTCTCTCCAAAGGGCGTTGTCTGACCCACTAAGCCTAAACATCTTATCACATATATGATCAAAGCTGCAGACAGGTTATCTCCTTCAAATGTGCACGTTTGGCTAGGTGTCACTGTGAAAACTAATTGTTGACAGGTGGTCTTAATGTTCTCCTTTGAAACTAAAGCGTGATTTACGAGCAGGCTTCCTAAGACCTGGCTTTCAGCGCTGCTACTACAAACTTATCTGTCTTTCCTTAGGCCAGGATCTCCTACCCAACCACCATCCCCCACCCCCCAAAAAACTATTTCTCTTTTTTCTCTATTGCACCTCATTATTTAGCTTTATCACTTTCGCCTCCTACCCCACTTTGATGTGGCTGACCTGCTCCATTTCTCATCGAAGCAGTCTGCAAGGACAGAGGTCCTGTTAAAGTTTGATGACCAGCGACAACAAAGTTAATTAATTAATTAATAAACACACACACACCTAACTCTTTTTCTAAAGAGACAATTGGTCTGAAAATGGTTTCCGGTAAAGAAAGAACAAAACTCATCTTTCGGTGCATACTGGCATATGTGTAGGCGTAGACCGGCGTATCGGTCGGCCAATATATCAGACCAATATTGGACATATTTCATATATCGGCATCGATCAATATACCTCCCTAGTAAAGCTGATTTAAAGTCAGGCACATCCCTGGGGAGCCCGGTGCCGCTGCAGAAAGAGTATTTTTACGTTCCTGAATATCATCTGGTTTATTAAATGCTCTAACAATTATTTCCAACTAGATTTTCTTTTATTTAGCAGTTTTGAATACTTAGTACTTGGTCGGTTTATTGATTTGTTTGATTACCTTCAGATAGACAGAAGTGCACAAAATCCAGATTTAAGAGTTGGTTAAACTCAGCTTCTGAAATGTTGTAATAACTGATGTTATCAGTGACATTTTAGCATAAGAATAGGGTGGAAAATGTCTACATATCGGCCATGAAAATATCGGCAGCACATATCACCTGACCATGACCTTTACACATCGGCATCAGTATCGGCAATAGCAGAACCGATATTGGTCGACCTCTAATGCGCACACATAACAGCACGTGGATCTGACAGTAGAGAGGGAGAGAGCAGGGAAGCTAGGGTTAGTATTTGTTTATAAAATACTTGATTACTAGTTGCAGCGCTACTACTCTCAGGGTCACCCTAGACAGAACCTAGTAAATGTGTGACTTGGCCCTTGATAGGTGCTAAGAAGGTTTAGGGTTAGGGTGTGGAGAGCAGAGTGAGAGACAGCATTAAGTCAGGATTTACGTCTGCCTCATGAGCCGCTACGGCGATCAGGAGTGAACCCAATAAAACTAGCATGTTAGCCTCTGAAGGCTACTTGAAGGAACAAAGGTGGTATTTGTTAGATTTGTACCTACCTGTCAGATGATATTTATGTCTATGGTGTTTTAAACCTACATCATAAACAGAGTTGTGCCAAACACACGAGCTACATAACCCTAACCCTAAAACATGTTTGTGTCTGCAGGATTAGGTTGAAGCAGAACCCTCGTGCACTCTTCCTCCTCAGCAGGACAAACACATGTGGAAAATAACATGTAAATGTTTTAAATAACAAAAGCTGCTGTTTTCTTTGCAAATTCCATTTACTATAAGTCATAAATATTTGCTACAACCTTTTGGAGATATTTTGATACACTTCTGCACCTGCACTCCTCATGGGTCCACGTGTTAAATCAGAAAGGACCCAGTGCTTTGCAGGTTTTTGCATATGATATTTCTGTAGTCACAGGCTGATCAGGGTGACGTGAGTATCGGACCCAGAGTGGAAAGCAACGTGAAAAAGAACCAGGTTTTGCTCACAGACTTCTGAAATCTTCAGATAGTTAAATAAAACAAAACTGTTAATAAAATATGCCATAAATCTCATTCTGTTATGTAGAAGTCTTCATTGGTCATTACCAATGATGGGTACTATGAAGTGTTTACAGAGTCCTGCCCCTCAATCAGCAGACCTATCAGAACTCAGGGACATTCCTGGAAGCCAATCACTAATGAGAACTGTGAGATTTTACTTTGACCAGCACCTCTGGGGTCAGGCGGTGCAGCTGGCACAGAGTATGTGTGTACATGTGTGTTTTTGTACACAGAATCACGCGCAGATCGAGACTAAGAACTACGGATGATAGAACCTTCTCTGCGATGGTTCTTGTTCTGTGGAATAGCTTGCCCCTTGAGGTTGACAGCTGACACCATGGCTTATTTGAAAGTATGTCTGAAAACACATTTGTTTGTTTTGGCATTTCACTGATAAAAACGCAGCAGGCTTCCCTTATTCTTTTATCTGCGATTGTCTATTGTTGTTTTTATTCTTTTGTCATTTGTTTTTATGCATTTCGACTCATCTGCCTGTGGTTTTAGTCTCTTGTAATTGTTTTGTCGGCTTTTAAAATTTATTTTTAACGCTTTTACTTTGCCTGTGTGCACCACTTTGGTGCAACAGCCATTTAAATGTGCTGTATATAAAAAAAAGTTGACTTGACTGAGACGGTGGACGTGTCCTGTAATGGTGTTGGACAAACAAGAGACGGGAGGGAAGTGGAAAGAGTCCCTAAAACTGGACGTACACACACACACACACACGGCTCTAACTCAGATTTTGTAACTGGGCGTCTCTTTTTGACCCTGTTTCAGTCATCCTTCAGACAGAGGAGAGTCCAGTTCTAATGAAAACCTTTATGATCAGTGGAGCCGAGCATCATTCATCACCTAATAGTTTTACACATTAGCACGTACGTGTGTAAACATAATCAGGCGTGAACCAATCAGAGTCCTGGGTTCTGTTGTTTACCAAATATGTCAGACTACCAACACCTGAATAGAAACAAGTTGAGACAGTGGCTTCTTACCATGTAGCGGAGACCCAGAAGGGCTGCTGGAAAGGCCAGGTATGGGACTACAACGTCCCCCCACACCACCTCCTCCTCCCAGAATGCAGCTGCTTCCTCCAACGCCTCCTGGACCCCCTCCTCCCAGTGCAGCCGCCCTGTTCAGCTCCTGTTCAATCTCCTCCAGGCCGGCACTCTTTTGGAAGCGGGACACCCGGTTTACCACCCGCGGGGACATGTGGGTTCGCGCGCAAGGTGCTCCACCATAAGGGTTGATTGGAAACACATGGGTGGTGCCACGGAGGGTGCTGATGGCAACCCAGCGACTGTCCTGGCTGAAACACATGTCCTGGACCTGGACAGAAAACATGAACCGGAAGACAAGACAGATAAAGCGGGTCAGATATGTGGTACGATGAGCTGATGCTGTCCAAACCAGCCTCTTTCTGTATGAAATCGATGAACTGTGTTAAAAGTACGAACGAGGACATGATTTCACCGTCCATGTGTGAAAAACTGAAGACCAGATAGATTAAGAAACAAGAAGAAAAGCATTCGTAGTACAGAAAGGGTACAGTCCAGAGCCCACTTAGAAACAGTTGTTCATGCCTTTATTACATAGACTGGACTACCGTCATTTGTTGTATGCTTGACTAAGTCAGGCCTCAATCATGAGGTTGCAGGCGTCCAAAAATCTGCAGCGAGGCAGCATCAAATAAATAGAAGCACACCACAGTCTACTTTTGGAGTAATTTCAAGATCTCGATTCACGCCGGGCAGTGCTCCATCCAACCTAGCAGCACTACTGCACAGACATGTCCCATCACAGTGGGCTGAGTTGGGCTTACTCACTGTCCCTTGCACCAAGCATGAATCAAGGCATCATAGGACCGTACCAGTAGCATAGGCTATCAGGCAGGCTCCATCACTGCTTGGACTTTCACCACAGTGCTACCTGACTGAATCATCTTATGGATGTCTGGTTTAAATTTTTGAATCGGTTTGTTGTCCTGCTCCTTTTAACGGTTTTGTTTGCTTTGGTCTCTTGAGCCTGGTTTCAGTCGTTAGGCCGTGGTCAGAGCTTCGGACCACCTTGACGATTCTGGAAAGAACTATAGAAGATAAGATGTTTTATTGATACAGATGCTCACCACTGCTTTTATTGTTAATTACCCAACTGTTTATTAAGAGAGTACCAAACTGATCAATTTAATTCAGATGTGTTAATAATATACTATATAAATGTTTTGTATTATTTTATCACAGAGGCCTGCAGAAAGAGCATCAACCAGACACTGGGTTGGTTAAGGTGCATCAGATGGTGGTGGGATCAAACAGGAAATAGTTTAAAGGTGGCCATCAATTAGAGCCTGTTGGGTTGTAAAATATAATGATGGCGCCCTTTGTTTGTCCACCAGACACGGTTTGATAGGATCCCTCTGAGCACTTCAGACATGTAGGAAACCAGACAAATGGGCTACAGGAGACAAAGGAGGATAAGAGGAGGGCTAATGCGGAACGGCGAAGCTCTGAGGTGACAAACTGATTAGGTGTTCGTTAAACCAGCTCCAGCCCTTCGTCATGCTAGTAGCACACAAACAAAGAGGCTGGCGAACATGAACAGGGGTCCAGGAGAGCGTCAGGAGGAGGAATGTAAAACTCCAGATTTCAGTAGTCTTTTTAATCTCCTGCCAGGTCATTCCAGGTAATTGTCCCCAAGCATTGACAGTTAATGGGGTGTCCTCTGCATACCAGACGGTTCCTTTGCTCTGCAAAGATGAGTGAAAGAGAAGGCCTGACCTCTGCTGTGCCTATTAGTGGTGGCTCAGGGACGATAAGGGCCTACTTTGTGTGTGTTATAATTGACCATAATGGACCTGTCAGGGTTTCAGCTGTAAAGACTCTTTCTGTCAGATCCACTCTGGACGGGAGCAGCAGCATGTGAAGGTGGCTGTGTTTGCACACCCACAGATACCCAACAGTTGTCCCACGTTATCTCTAGAAGATGGAATTCATCTGAATTGAAGCCGTATGAGGCGGAGGTGTTGATGTGGAGGCAGAGCATTCCACACATGCTGCGGTCTCGCACGTTGTCCTTGATGACATCAGTGACAGACGGACGGACAGATGTCACTGAGATGTGATTAACCTAACCTTTTAAATCAGCTACACCAGTTAGCAGGACTTGGTGTTACTGTTTACCTGACAGGAACCTCTCAAGGAATGATGGGAATGTGAATCTGATGAATGCAGGGATAAGAAGAGAAACAAAACAGCTCAACGTGAAGGACAAAGTCAGCTAAACACGAACAAACTACCTGTTCTTTGTGGGAAGTCCACTAAACCGCTGCAACAACAGCTGAGCCTACAGGTACTAAAGCATAATTACATTATAAACAAATAGCTCTCAAGAAAAATGCTGACAATTAATCCAACCTATGTATAATGACAATACCAGAGTGCTAGTTTATCAAAATTACATGATTAGTGATGAAAACAGAGCCTCCAAATAATTACAATAATATTCTTCTAGGCAAAAATAAATAATAAATACAAGTTTAATAATTGTGGCCATTTCATGGAAAATCCACTTTTTGGAGAATATTACCACGTGTCATTGATATTTCCTCATCAAAAAGAGATAAAACAAACCCATTTTTGGCAGCATTCATGCATTTTCCTGTTTCAGCTGCACATTTTGAATTTAACTTTGAAAATCTTGTAAAGCATTAACGGAGGCCCTGCTCCTCTCCCGGAAGCTAGTCTGGTCTGAAGGTGAGTGGTGTTACATAGCAGACTTGGTAGTCCAGTGGTTAGAGAACTGGGCTGCCATTTAGTTTTGCACAGGTTCACCTCTCGTAACTTTTCTTCCTTCTTTTTCAGCTACACTTGCCAGTATTATGTTTTCAACCCTTAATTGGTAAACAGTTTAGAATATAAGGAATAATCAGTATTTTTATTTTTTTTTATTTTTTTTGCTTTCTTTGTTTATTTAGCCAGTGTGAGTCCATGTGAGATGAGCAGAGTAAATCCACTAAAATGCTGCTTGGAAATTACCGAATTTAAAGATCTTTAGAGACACGAAACATTTTACTGAAAAAAAAAAACAAAAAAAAAAACTTAAATATATTTAGCGTGTAACTGGTGGTACGTAGGTGTTTGTCCCTGAAGGGATTTGGGGGTTTTGACAGTTTTGACGTTTGTAAGCGAACACTTCCTACTGCTCTGTGAGTTTGCCGCGTTGATTCTGCCCTAACAACAACAGCCCACACAACTTTCACCCACAGGTTGCAAAATCCCACATTTAGAAGAAGTGAACAAACATCCCGACCTCTAGTGAAACTTATCTCTACAGTCTGATTCAGCCACACCACTAAAAAGACTCTGTAAACTTTACAGTCCAGGAGCATCACCCCTGTAACCTCACGGAGCAGCGTTCTGGTCCGCCATGGTGTGTTTACAGCTGTTATCGGCTGCAGGTCTGTTTACCTGGCCTCGGGTCACTGGCAGCCAGCCACGTGTTTGGTGCTGGAGACAGATAAGGCGTCTCTCCACCCACCTAGCTGCAGACTTTATCACTCTCCACTGCGTTTCTGAGTGTGACTGTGAGTTTGCGAGCTTGTCAGTGAGCACGGACTGATAACCTCTGACCTGAGCACCAGGCCGCGGCCAGCATTCGGTGTTTACAGCGGTTCGGATCAAAGCGGGCTTGGAGTGCAGCCGGTCAGCGAACCGAGCTGCAGACAGGTTCTGAGAGTTTTTGTGTGATGATGTGTTTTACCAGTCAATAATGCTGAACCCAACAAGGCCTTAGGGAGATCAGCTGAGTAGGCACTTTTACAAGTCTTGGTGGAGAAGTAGAGGAAAAAAAAACTCTTCTGACTTGGTTGGCACTGATTTAGTTTTGCTGTTTAATTGAAATTTTTTTTGTACAACTTTAAAGAAAATGTTTGGAGTTCCAACGCGGACGTTCTGGGGTTGTACACGACTGGGGCGTAACATCTAACAGCCACAACAGAACAGAGTCAGAATGTTCTCCACACCAAACAGCTGCTTCAGAGTAACGAGCAGAACAATAAAGATCTGATCTGCTGCAGCAGTGGGGAGCAACATGCTTCCTGTATGGCAGGCTGTTGTCATGACTTACACTTTTAAATGGACCACAGAAAACTATTGATTTATTAATTAGTTTACTAGTATTTCTAACTATGCTAGAACATTGCTAAAACAATGACTAATTTGGAAAAGAAATTAGCTTAAAACATTTTTTTCATGCCTCTTAACAGCGATCAGAAACGGTATCAATTGCTCAATAACTTTTCAAAAATATTCCACAACAATCTGTTTTTATAAAAATAGACTTTGTTTAATTTTTGTGATATATTCTGTATTATTGAACAGTGATATAATGTTCTAAAATTAGCTAGATTATTCTAAAGTATCTTACAATTATCTATATTATTCAAAAATAACGTTTATTTAACTTGTTGGTGTGTTTTGGGATTTCTTTTACCAGAACAGGAACAACGTCCATATTTGAGCACTTCATTTTCTCGAACTTTCTGCATGAAAATAAATATTTTTGAAAATTGTAACAACAGAAAAACACATGGTTATGGACTATACAATAACACCCTGGGGTTGAAATGTAAAACATTTAAATACTTTAATGAGCGTCCAAGGTTAGAAGGCATGGAAAAAAATGTTTTAAGCTCATTTATTTTCCAAATTTGGTATTGCAGCTTTAATATAATAGCTATATGCCGTTTAGATATTAGACACCAAGGCCGGTGAACTATTCCTGTATATGGATCACTGTGACGTGATTTGATCAATGAGTTGTGAATCCTCTCCTCTCAAATCACCAAAAACCTACAGTCAGGTCCATAAATATTGGAACATCGACACAATGCTAACATTTTTGGCTCTATACACCACCACAATGGATATCAAATGAAACAAACAAGATGTGCTTTAACTGCAGACTGTCAGCTTATATTTGAGGGTATTTACATCCAAATCAGGTGAACGGTGTAGGAATTACAACAGTTTGCATAAGTGCCTCCCACTTGTTAAGGGACCAAAAGTAATGGGACAATTAGCTTCTCAGCTGTTCCAGCCAGGTGTGTGTTATTCCCTCATTATCCCAATTACAATGAGCAGATAAAAGGTCCAGAGTTCATTTCAGGTGTGCTATTTGCATTTGGAATCTGTTGCTGTCAACTGTCAAGATGAGATCCAAAGAGCTGTCACTATCAGCAAAGTAAGCAGTCATTAGGCTGAAAAAACAAAAGAAACCTATCAGAGAGATAGCAGAAACATTAGGCGTGGCCAAAACAACAGTTTGGAACATTCTCAAAAAGAAGCACCGGTGAGCTCAGCAACACTAAAATACCCAGAAGACCACGGAAAACGACTGTGGTGGATGACCGAAGAATCCTTTCCCTGGTGAAGAAAACACCCTTCACAACAGTTGGCCAGATCAAGAACACTCTCCAGGAGGTAGGTGTATCTGTGTCAAAGTCAACAATCAAGAGAAGACTCCACCAGTGTGAATACAGAGGGTTCACCACAAGATGTAAACTATTGGTGAGCCCCAAAAACAGGAAGGCCAGATTAGAGTTTGCCAAACAACGTCTAAAAAAGCCTTCACAGCTCTGGAACAACATCCTATGGACAGATGAGACCAAGACCAACTTGTACCAGAGTGATGGGAAGAGAAGAGTATGGAGACGGAAAGGAACTGCTCATGATCCTAAGCATACCACCTCATCAGTGAAGCATGGTGCTGGAAGTGTCATGGTGTGGGCATGTGTGGCTGCCAGTGGAACTGGTTCTCTTGTATTTATTGATGATGTGACTGCTGACTAAAGCAACACGATGAATTCTGAAGTGTTTCAGGCAATATTTGCTCATATTCAGCCAAATGCCTCAGAACTCATTGGACGGCGCTTCACAGTGCAGATGGACAATGACCCAAAGCATACTGCAAAAGCAACCAAAGACTTTTTGAAGGGAAAGAAGTGGACTGTTATGCAATGGCCAAGTCAATCACCTGACCTGAATCTGATTGAGCATGCATTTCACTTGCTGAAGACAAAACTGAAGGGAAAATGCCCCAGGAACAAGCAGGAACTGAAGACTGTTGCAGTAGAGGCCTGGCAGAGCATCACCAGGGATGAAACCCAACGTCTGGTGATGTCTGTGTGTTCCAGACTTCAGGCTGTAATTGACTACAAAGGATTTGCAACCAAGTATTGAAATGTATAAGTTTGATTTATGGTTCTTATTCTGTCCCATTACTTTTGGTCCCTTAACAAGTGGGAGGCACATGTGCAAACTGTTGTAATTCCTACACCGTTCACCTGATTTGGACGTAAATACCCTCAAATAAAAGCTGACAGTCTGCAGTTAAAGCCCATCTTGTTATTTTCATTTGATATCCATTGTTGTGGTGTATAGAGCCAAAAATGTTAGCATTGTGTCGATGTCCCAATATCTATGGACCCGACTGTATAAAGGGAAGCAGCCAGGCAGCTAGCATTAACTCCTGATAGATTCTGATCCAGAAACCCATGTGACTTGATAGTTGTGTGTGTGTGTGTGTGTGTGTGTGTGTGTGTGCGTGCGTGCGTGCGTGCGTGCGTGTGCGTCAGACCTTGGCCTCAGTCTCTCCTCGATGCAGGGTGTAAAGGTGGTGAACGGCGGTCTGTGAGGAGGCCCAGGGGTGGGTGAGTATCTGGAAGACGTGAAAGTCATGGCCCAGCGTGTCGGCAGTAACCAGCAGCATCCCTACAAAGAGCAAAGCAGAATCAAGGTTGGATTAGTGTTTGTTCACGTTCCTGTTAAGATTTGCTGTAAATGTTCAATTTGCATTTTAATTTGAAAACTTTAGTCCATCACACAAGTACTGCAGATCCAGTAACTGCATACATAATGACCCGTTTAGAGATGCTGTCACTAGATAACAGAAGCTGTAGAAACTCCAAAAGTTCAGAAAACAAACAACATGTTTAAGCAGCTGTTGAACTGAACCTGGAGACTACATGTTAGCAACAAGAGAGCAGCAGGATGGATGAACAAACCCTAACCTTCCTGTTGTGAAAAGTCAATGATGTCACTAGTATAAAACCCTACGTTATATAGAAAACACACACACAAACACACACACACACACACACACACACACACACACACACACACACACACACACACACACACACACACACACACATCATTGTGCCTTTAAAACAAACAAACCAGTCCAATAAAAACCCAGCTATCACTTGTTGCTGTCACAAAAACAGCTTCCCCTCTCATGATGGCTGGCTTTGGTTAAATGCAGGGCTCCAGTCGTGTGCTCCATTAGACAGAGACAAGATGATGAGTGTGTGTGAAGCAGTGAATCCTTAAATCCACTCATCATTCCACAGCTCTGGCTGTGTGGATGCACACGGAGAGTCAGTAAAACACCCAACCACAGCTCAGCACTGACGGGCCTTTTCATTTGCTTCCATTTTATTTGAAGCTTGTCAAATTCAAGAAAGTATAGGCTCTCACCATAAACAACATGCTCTACAAACCACACCAGAACAAACCTAGATCTCCACCGCCTCGGCGAAGAAAAAGGCAATCCTGCACAACACAACCCAGAACCCACCCCCCAGAACCCTCTGAGATGTTCCAAAGTGAATGAAAGCCCGGTCCGACTGACAACTTTAAGACTCAAATGATGATGTTTGTCACTTTCATCTGAGTTTTTCCACTTGGAAATGTTGTTTGAGAGCTGAAGCTGGTTTAAATTAGTGGCCAGGTACTAATGGTCAGCACTATGCCAACAATATGTACCCTGTACCCTAAATAAAGGAAGCAGAATATGTCCCACTAAAGATGACTCATTTATTCACCCAAAACATATTTTATTTAGTTGAGCAGGAATAAAGGAGGCAGAGTGTTGGCGAACGGCGGAGTCGTGCGTGTGGATCATCAGAAGAGTGAAAAAAGGGAAAAAGCCAAGCAAAGTGGTCTCTGAGACAGTGGTTAGTTCTTCATGCTGTATCACAGCGACCAGAAAGCCAGAGCACTAAGGCCCAAGGCCTGTAAACTCATGAAACCCACACCCCAAACGAGGTGCCAAGCCACAAGAAGCATTTGCGTCAGCTGGGGATCCACAGAAAAAGGGACGGGGCCCTTCTAATTATAGAGTCTGGAAACGGAAGCGCGGGGTGATTAGGAATTGAGGCGCTGTGGTCTGTTTATCTGGGAGCTTCCTCTCGCTCTCCAAAGCTCTCAACCCCTCTCCCCACCACTTCTTTCATTCTTCCTCGTCTCGCTGTCCGGGGCAGGCCCCGCCCACCCGGTGGCGGGAGAGTCTGGCCTCTGGCTCTCTGACAGATGAAACTTGGCCGCTGAATTCTGGCCAGAGTCGGTATTTCTCTTTTGCTGATGGTGGAGTCTGGGCTCCAGAAAACTAACGGCTCAGAGGCTGCAGCTTTGTGAGTGTGCATGTGCCCGAGGACTGGGGATTTTTGCCACAATGTTGAAATACAGAGGCGCTTGCTGAGAGGCGTCGCTCGGTTAGCCCACAGGGAGGCCAAATTAAAAAGCAGCTGAGCCACTCGGCGGGTGAAAAGAGAGGGTTTCGGGGAAACCAGAGGCTGGCCAGAGCCACATTTGACACGTCCTATTTATAACACCTTCTGGAGGTTACGGTGTCATTTGCAATGTTTTAGTACTAAAACAGTTGGCACACACACAGACGTGCACTAAACTAGAAGGGATGACCTCTAATTTGCCATGTGAGTGGGACATGTGTCCATATGAGACACAAGGGAAATGATACGATCATTTCCATAAATATCTGCTTTTGTTTTCTGCTGCTTTTCTCCCCCACATATCTTTTTGTGTTTTGCTGCAGCCTTTACCGTCCCATCTCTGACCATCCAAACAGAAAACATCTGTTGCATCCCATTAACAGTGGGAGGAGGATTCGTTTACAAAGTGGTTCAGCTAGCCATAGCATGACAACGGCAGATGGGACAGTAGGGTAGAGGAGAAATAGTAAGAGCTGAAGACAAAGAAAAGAGAGAATGGTGAGGGGGGGAAAAACCTGATTTCTCTGCTCGGCAACATAGAAAACCACAACAAAACTCGTGCACTTTTTAATTAACAGCATTATGCTTTGAAAGTTGGGTAAATCTTAAATTATAACCATACGGAGGGCATAAAGCTTACAAGATGGAGTGGTTGGGGAATCTGGGTTGCTCTGCTGTTAACAGGACGAATAAACTTTAGACAAAATGTGCTCAGCACAAAAATGAAAGACTACCTCTCATTAGACAAAGCTTTATTTTGAGATCTGGCGCTGTAGCAGACGGGCAGGACTTTGTGTGTGTTGGAAGTTGTTAAGCAGGCTGAACCGATAAAACACACCATCACTCTGTATTCTAACACACACCGAGATGTGTTTGTGCTCCTACGGACACTCCGACCACCTACTAACCATATGGAATCAGTTTTCCACCTACAACTCTCCCACCACCCAGTCTTTCATCTGCTGCACGCCAACATCCACTTTAACCTCTAATCTTACTTTACCTGTTGGGTTCAATCACAACATGTTTTACTCGCCATGTTTAGACAAAGTTAGCTTATCATCAAATTAATAGCCGGTACAGCTCAACCTCTTCCATTAACTCCTGCTCATTCCCAGCCAGAGCGGTGACATTCCATGTCCCAAAAATCAGTTCAACATTCTGTGGATCAGACAGTCAAAGCCTCCACCCTGGTCTGCTGTATGATCCACAATGCACCGGACTCTTCATGTTCCTTCTGTGGGTCCACAGTGGGACAGGCCCACGTATCCAACCACCAGGCACTCGAATTCCAGTGCAGGCACCGGGCTGGAAAACTGGCACCCCTCCAGGCCGGGAACTTTGGATTTTCTCCAGGCCGGGTTCTCATACTCATACGCTAAACTCATGAAAAGGATTTTATGGCAACTCCTTGTCTCGCCCAACACCTAGGATGAATTAACCATGGGAGCCCTATCAGATTCTAGGATCTTTAGGGTACTCTGCCACGATAAGGTAGTGGCTTCATGGAAGGTATCAACCAATCCCTAATCCTAATCCATAAATGGACAAACATTTTTATCAGGAGACCCAAAAATACAATATCTTAACTGGAGCAGCTATTGAATATTTTAGTATGTGAATATTCTGTCGATTAAGATTAGGGCTGAAACAAATCATCGAATTATTTAATTCATTCATTCTGTCGATTAATCGAATATTCTATTTGACGATGTTTCAAGTGAAGCCAGATTGCGGACATGCAGCTGAAAACTATGAAAATAAAACAACAAATTATAACAGGCTTAATAATATGTATTAAACCGGTGCAGTCTAGTTTCCTCTTTCCCATCTGATATTGACGATTTCCCTCTTTCCTATTCATTTTCTCTTTCCCTTTACTTACATTTTTAATCACAATTTTTATTTGTATTTTTCTCATTGTAACCATGTTTTTTAAAAATGTACTTAACTATTTTTTAATATTTACATTTTTTTGTTTTTGTGAAGCGCCTGGTGATTTTTCCCCGTGTCTTTCTTTCTATCTTTTATTAAGCCAATTAGTAAAAGGTTTCCTATACAAGGATACATTTCATTAACATGTTAGGTTTGTATTAATGTCACTCATCCTAATCAAGACAGCATACCTAAATAAATCCATATATGATCAGTAGAATTAAATTATTTCAATAACATGTTTAGTAATAAGCTACTGGAAATGCTAATAACATTTCATTTTTACTGGCAACAATGTAATGGTGGCATATATATTTTATTGAGTATGGGTTGGCAATGATCCAGTCTAAATTGTATTCATAGACGTGTGTGTGAATTATAGGCTACAACGGCTTGCCATAGCCCTGTTGTGGCGTGTGGAGGAGACTCAAACCGATAACCTGACACCAGGTAGCTCCTGCGGTTCTGCTCCATAGGGCCACAGGCTGCAGATATCCACAAATTAACAGGATGGTTGGGAGTTTAGTCCTTCACAACCATCATTATAGTCAGGTGTGCTCATAAGTGGTCCGCAGGTGCGCATGCGCTATCAAAATAAACAATGCGCACCTGAAAAAAAGCTGCAGCACGCATTTGCACACCTAAGATTTTGTGGAGGAAGAAAGACATTTCTGAAGCATTTTAAAGATGTCCAAGAAGCAAGCTCCATTAAGTAATTATTTTGGTGTTCCTCCGCCTCCAAAAAAAACGTCAGACTGAGTCGGAACCACAAAAGAAAAGAGTATTTACGGAGAAGTGGCTGCAGGAGGTCGGCTGGCTTCAAACAAACGATGAACGCACAGAGATGTGGTGCAGATCATGCCGTGAAAATCCCACCTTGGCAGACAAAAACAGCGCATTTACATAGGCACTAAACACTTCAATCATCCAGCTTTTGATAAACATACTAACAGCAGAGAACATGAGAAAGTTGTCCTCTGCTGTGTGTGAACTGGAGGAAGCCAGACAGGATAGTGAGGAGGATGATGAGGATGATGAGAGTCTATAGAAATAAAAACGGCATTTATGCCATTTTAAAAACTTCAGTGCTCTGAAATATTAATTTTGTTAAGTGCTTTTTTATTCATTTTATTTGACTTTTGTTATCACAAAAGCAGCTGTTTACATATTGTGTTTTACATTCAGACAATTCAGTCATGTTATTTGAAAATTAGAAGGTTAGCTTAAGCTGGCAATATGTACCTGTTGTACTTATTGTTTTCA